TGGTAGAAATTTTATATGCAGGATAAAATAAAAATAAATATAAACAATATTGAAAAACCAATAGATCCCTCACTCCGCTCAGAATCTAATAATATTGATAGTAATATAGTTGATAATATCAAATAATCAATTCAAGTCATATTTATTGTTCTTTTTCTTTAAACTATAAAAGAATGTTATGAATCAGTTTAAATCAGGAATGAAAAATGTTTTTAATTTTTTCGTTTTTGTTTTTGATTAACGTTTTTAAAAACGTTATTTTTCTATATTGTTTTTGATAATATTGTTTTTTTTATAGTAGTAAATTTAGCAATTAAGAAATGCACTTAAGAGTTAAAAATTAAAATTAATTATTCTTGATTTCAAATAAAAATGTTTTTAAATTTTAATAGAGCATTGTTGGTAAAGATTAAAAAGTAAATACTTAAGTAACATTTTTTTTTTTGTGTTATTAATATAATAATGTACAATACTATAATTTATTTGCGTTTTCGTTTTTGATTTCGTAATTAATTTTTTTTCTGTTTCTGGAATTTTTTGTTATGGTTTTTTGTTTTTGTTTTATTCATTGTTTTCGTTTTTTTTCCGTTTACTAACGTTTTTTAAAAACGTTTTCCATCCCTGGTTTAAATTATTTATTTTATTTTATCACTGTGGTGTTATCATTGTGAATCTTACCTTTACATTTTTTCTGACGCTGGGAATTTATAAAGTTGACGGAGTGATTGTTTACAAAAATACAGTACAAATCAATTGGAAAGCGAATTGCCTGTTACATGTTATAATTATCAGTGATAAATAATAATATTGTTTATGGCTGGTGGAATCAATAATCACGATAAAGAAAAATTGCAAAAAAAAAATAAAATAATAACTACCAAGTCAATATTGAAAACACAAACACATATCAAAAGTAGACAAAACGTGTATTACTAATATGTAAAAAAATAAAGAACCTTGGGGGGGGATCTATCCCCCATATCCCCCCCCCCCCCGTGAGAACGCCCATGACTAGTTGTAGTAAGTCTACTATTGAACATAAGGAAGAATCAGAGATATTAAGTGAAGAAATACCTTATAGGCAGGCAGTAGGTAGCTTACTATTTTTATCACAGGTAACGAGACCAGATATAGCATATGTAGTTAACTTTGCTAGTCGTTACTTAGCCACTAAAGCTCATTGGAACTTGGTAAAACGGATTATACGATATGTCAATCGAACATTTAATTATGACTTGTATTTTAATCATAATACACAATAGTCATTAGAAATATTTAGCGATGCAGTTTACGCAGGTGACGTTCAGACACGACGCTCAACTTCGATTTCTATTCAGATACGGGTCAAGCATAATTTAATGGACATCGCAGAGACAACATTGTGTGTCATTGTCATCGACAGAGGCTGAATATATTTCGGCCAGTGAAGCTGTAAACGGGATCATGTGGATTACGCGGTTGATAATAAGCTTATCAAAAACAGGCGATAAACAACCGGTATTATTCATTGATAATCAGAGTGCTATTCGTTTAGTTAAGAATCCGGAGTTTCATATGTGACAAAACACATAGAAGTACAATATCATTTCGAGAAATACGAAGAAGGACAATTTCAACAAGGTACTGTACATTGGAACAGAGGATCAGATTGCAGACATTCTAACAAAGCCTTTGGTCAAGGAACGTTTCGAGAAATTGCGTTCAGCTGTAGGAGTGACTACAATTAAAGAAATTATTAATTGAGGGAGGGTGTTGAAATATACAATTAATATAAGTATTCAAACCATGTAAACACACGTGCGTGTACAATGTCGGTTTCTAATGGATAATGCAGTTACGATATAGCTGTGCAACACCTTTACTATCGCTTTCTATATTATATACGGATACGGGATGGCCTCGATCACGGTCTTAGAAGATAAGGTCCGACGACTAGTATTTATCAGTTTTCCGCTTGTTGTAGCAAATTTAGTTCAATTGTTACTCACGAGCGCTGCAGGTTATACTTATTGAGGTTATGAACTTAATAATTTATTCTTATTTAATATGTTGGTAAGGTTCAAAATTCCGCCAAAAATCTAAAATCAGCTATTGAACTCCATAGAAAATAATTAAAATATTTATTTTTATTTACCGAGTAATTCACAATTGTATACGCTATTTTATTACAATCAGTTTTTTGTCTCTAAAAAATAAATTATGCCCAACAATATTTGTTTATTTGGTTGTAATACCAACAAAAAATTATCCGTGTTTTCCATTCCAAAAGACGAACTTTTAAAAAACGAATGGTTAAAATCCCTCGATGTTCCACATTTGTTTCATAATAATGTTGTCTGTGAAGAACATTTTCGTACAGACCAAATACAAAAAAAAAGGATATATTTGATAAAGTGGGGAAAATTGTATGCTCAGTAAGTTATAGATGATATATAGACTATATATAGTATTTATAAAGTATGCCTCATGAGTTATGAAAAATGATTGTTTAGGTTCCTCTGTTACGTCCTCGATTATTACCTAATGCAGTTCCTTTTAGGTTTTCTGCAAGGAAAAAATTGAAATTTGATAATACTGAAAAAAAAAAGTAATTTATAAAAATATAATTACACATATTTATAATTAAGTATTACATTTTAATATTTATTAGACAGAGGAATTATTGATGGACTCTTGTAGTGGCAAAGGTGCAGAAACCAGTGTCCCTATATTTTCTGATATAGTAATTATAAATTAATAACTAATACATTTATTATTACAATTTTATATTTTGTTTAAATTAAACATTACATTTTAAGGATTACCAATGTGATCCTGATAAAAATATAGTGGATATAATGTTAGATCATAATTATTCTGCTAAGCCTAATGATAATTTACAATTAGATGATTCCGTTGCAAAGTACAATATTAATAAAACTATGATATACCAAGAAGTAAGAAATTTAAAACATTGATATAATCAAAATAATATATTTGTGTATAAATAATTACTTTCTTAAGTTTAAAATTTGAAATTAAATTTATTTATAGAATATATCAACAACTATAAAAGAGCAAAGTAATTCAATTTCATTTAATGAATTGAATACTTTAGACTTGCAGCTACCCATTAACTGGCACAAATATTTTTCTTATGAAAAGAAGTACTTTGGCATATCCGAAATTATTTTTGTAGAAAATGAAGGCAAGTTAAAATCCTTTTTACGGAAAAGTATAATTATAAGCCAAAGTTCAAAAATTACTTGCAATATTTTGGGGAAAAATATATGCAATGATAAATTAGTAAATGCCAATACTAATCTTGAAAGTATAGATCAGTTAAAAAGTTTAATTAAAGAAATGGCTTTATTCAAAATTTGTAAAGGATTGGATTTAATAAGCTCAAAAAAGTAACAAATAAAATAGTTAAGAATAATAAAAATAAAATAATTTCAATTTTTTTTTTCACAATTATAGATATGAATCATTTTTTTATATTTCTGAAAATATTGTAATTGATACCATGCAAATGAAATGACATAAGGAATGTTTGTTCTTAATTTCAAATAATTTACATTGTTTGTACTGTGCAAGAACCATACGAAATGTAAAGCAAAAACAAATTCGATCTACCTTACTATCATCTCCTAAACGAATTTCCCTGAGAACTACACCAAAAAGTAGAAAAAAATTGATAATTTTACAAAAAAGAAACAATGTTCTCAGAAGACAAAAGAATCGTTTTGAAAAACAATTTAGTTCATTAAAAAAAAATTTACTTAACCTTCAATCTGAGTATAGTAATATTTCTCAAAAATCTATTGAAGAGAAACTGATTGAAATTAACTGCCCTGTAAATCAAAAGACAATTGTTCAAGAAATATTTTCAGCAGCAAAAGTAATATGTTAATTTAAAATATCATCAGAATATTATTATTTAATTTAATTTTTTTGTTTTGTAAACTAGGTTAATAACTCTAAAGGTAGACGTTATTCTGATGAATGGTTAATACTATGTATGTTGTTTCATATTCGATCCCCAAGTGGTTACAATATAATGCCATTGCCTAATGTTAGTACTATTAGGCGTTATCTCTCTTTAATAGATACATCTTGTGGATTTGATAATCAATTTTTTACTCTATTTAAAAAACACCTAGAAAATAAATCCACCATGCAAAAACATGGTATTATTCTTGTAGATGAGATATCAGTAAGAGAAGCATTAACTGTATGCTCCAAAAGGCTTACTTATAAAGGCTTTGTAGATTTTGGTGATGATTATGAAGCAAGTGATATAAATTAAAAGGCAACAAGTTGCTTAGTATTTATGTTCCAGCCACTTGCAGCCACTTATTCTCAACCTGTAGCCGTATTTGCATCTAGAGGACCTGTAGTCGGCACAGAGTTAGCAAAACTTATGTTGAAATGTATAATTCTGTTAGAGCCAGCAGGTGTTATTATTCATGGATTTGTCTCTGATGGAGCTCAGACAAACAGAAAAATGTGGTCTGAACTTGGAATAAGTGGCCAAGTTAATTCCTTTAAAAATTGGTTTCAACACCCTCTTCATGAAAATCGGAAAATATATGCATTTTCAGATACACCTCATCTTTTTAAGAACGTCAGAAATAAATTATACAATGATAAAATATTGAAGGTAAGTTTGTATTATCTAATTATATACTGAAACTCGTTTTTTGTTTAGTTCTAACAATTAATCTAATATTTATTTATTTAAAATATTATTTTTGTCTTTCATACTAGCTAAAACCCAGTAAAAGAATTCCTTAGAAAAAAAAAAAAATTATTAATCCTAATAAATTTAAGTCTATGTCAAGCACTGTGAATTTTGTTTTTTATATATTTTTCTGTATAGATTTGCATGTAGTTGTTCATTGGTGTTAAATAACTTAATATAGAAAATAGCAATGTGTAACTTTGTGTGTTATTATTTTAAATATTTGTTTTAACTAATTTATATCAATATGTGTTTATTTGTTAAATTTGCATGATCAATGGGAGCTATATTTTGTACCAAGGTATGTATTTTAGATAATAATCATAAAAAAAGGAAATTAATTAATTCTATTACCTTTCTTTATGTAGATTAATGGTCAGTATATCCGTTGGAATCACATTAGTATTTTATACGAGCAAGATAGCAAATTACCAAGCAATTTAAGGGTTTGTCCAAAATTATCCAGAAACCATGTACATCTTAGTGTGTCTTATAAAATGAGAGTACAGCTACTCAAGTATACATTTTTTTTTTTAAATTCATCTATATAATAAAATAATAATTAATACTTAATAGGTACTTAAATATTTAATAAATATACGATACCCATAGAATTTTGGTTTGTCTTTATACATAATTTAGGTGTTGAGTAATTCTGTTGCTAATGGCTTAATGTTTTATAAAAAATATAATATTCCTGGCTTAAATGATTGTGATCCAACATCCAAATTTTGTCAAAAGTTTAATGATTGTTTTGACGCACTGAACAGAAAATTTGGTGCTGAAGGACTAAGAGTTAACGGCAAAGACTTTCAGGTAAAAATAAATATTTTATTATGTCCATACAAAAATTAGATCAACATACATTTGTATACCTAAATAATTAAATTTAAAATTTACAGTTTCTTCAATCATTTTTGGTTTGGTTGAATGAATGGCAAAAACAATATACAGATGGCGAAGTAAAAAAATCAGAATTTTTATCTGATAGCACTGCTTGTGGGCTAAGAATTACAATTCAATCTACTCTTGATCTTTCTGGGTATTTAAAGTCATGCTGGAACTTTAAATATCTATTAACAAGGAAAATTAATCAAGACAAACTTGAAGTAAGTACAGGCAGACAGAAGTTGTAATAATCATTAATATTAAATAAAAATTATGTATTACCTAGATGTTTTTTGGAACAATTCGGCAAGCTGATGGCCAAAATGATCATCCTTCAACCCCTAATTTTCTCCAATTGTATAAACTACTATCTACTTACAGCATTTTAAAGCCTCCCAACAGTGGAAATTGTACTGTACATGATGATTCTCCATTAAAACCAATTATATCTATGACAGATTTGAAAGACATTTATCAAATTAAAAAATATGACTTGGTTGAAAATTTAAAAACTAAATTAAACAATATCATTGGAGAAAAAGAATGGGAATTCAATGATCTTGTTGAACATGATTATACTAAACCGGAAATTATAGATTGTTTAATTTATTATTTAACAGGTCATATTTTATTCATATTAACAATTTTAATTGATGCACAAAATAAAAAGTTTTAAAATTATTTCAGGTTACCTATCAAAACAACTGTTGAAGTACATAAATGATTGTACAATTTGTAAGTCAGCTTTTGCCACTCCACAGGTTTATTCTCAGGAATTGTCTGCGACACTGGTCAATATGAAAACCAAAGGGCGATTAATTCATCCAAATATATTTTTTTTCAATTTTATTCTGAAAATTTAAAAAAGTTTTATGAAACATTGTTCATCAACTCACGTTTTTGATCTAATAATTGATGATATGATTAATGAAAAGCACATAACAAATTTCCCTTGTGTCACTCATGGAGAAAATATTATTTCATTTGCTGTTATTTATTACGTGAGAATGAGAATGAGGCAATTCACATACCAGGAAAATAAAAATAAAAAAACAGAAAACAGAAATAAAAAAAAAGTTGCGAAGTTTTGTAAAACTTAAAACACCATGATGGGTGGTGCAAATACGTATAAATAATAAATACCTAATATTAATATTTACCTAATTATTAGTATTATATACCTAATAAGAAACAACTGTATCAGTACTTAAGGCATATTTTATTATTTTATATTTTAATGTTTTCAAATGTTCACGTTATTCAATATATTAATTATTAAAATGTCTTTAATAAATTATTACATTTCACAGTAAACTGGTCGGTTCATATGTTTATAGACATTAGAATATTAGATGTAGATGGACTATCTGACTAGCACTACGGCAGTCATATGCCGCCTGCCGGCCCGGACATGACATGATCGTTTTTAATAATTAAATACATAACCTCAAATAAGTATAACCTGCAGCGCTAGTGAGTTAAATAGGAACTAAAACTACCTCAACAAGCGGATACCATAGACCTATTAACAGATGGACTGCGCTTTAGATGAAATTCATGTCCTCAACATGAGATAAGGAAAACTATTCTCTATGGAAGACAAAATAAAAATTAATAATATTTGTCCATGATTTTAATGATAATTATTAATTTGACAATAGATAAGAAGCTCGATAATAGTCAACTCCAAATAAATGCATTATTTCCTTCTTTAAATGAACATATTCTAAATCAATCTCCTATTCACAATCATCTACTTCAATTAATCAAAAATATTCTATCATTATACTTTAAAATCCATCTGCATCACTATAATAAAAATATATCTCAACCACACCAAAGAATTAGATCTGTACTCACTAAAACTATCCACTTTAAAAACCATTAACACTTTTTTGTGTTTAAATTTATTCATGTTGTAAAATATATTAAAAGTATCAATAAATAAAAGAATGACAAATTAAAAAAATGTGTTTTTATTAATAAAATTGTCCTTGTACGCTTATTAAATTGTGTAGGTCCATGCCCCCGCCACCCCCCATTGCGATTTTTGGGTCCCAACCCGGGGCGATCGTTTGTGCTTCGTTAGTGCACGTTAGTGCTTTTTATCCCGTCGTTAGTGCTTTATCCATTCCAAAGTTATTCGCATTTCGTACAGGGGGGTGCGGGGGACATGCCTGCACCCCCCATTTCGAATTTCGGGCCCAAACCCAGGGCGATCGTTTGTGCTTCGTTAGTGCACGTTAGTGCTTTTTATCCCGTCGTTAGTGCTTTATCCGATCCAAAGTTATTCGCATTTCGTACAGGGGGGTGCTGGAGACATGCCTGCACCCCCATTTCGAATTTCGGGCCCAAACAAATTTCATTCGTTTGTGCTTCGTTAGTGCACGTTAGTGCTTCTCATCCCGTCGTTAGTGCTTTATCCGTTCCAAAGTTATTCGCATTTCGTACAGGGGGGTGCTGGGGACATGCCTGCACCCCCCATTTCGAATTTCGGGCCCAAACAAATTTCATTCGTTTGTGCTTCGTTAGTGCACGTTAGTGCTTCTTATCCCGTCGTTAGTGCTCCATCCCTTAAATTCTATTTGAATTTCCTACAGGGGGTTCTAAGGACATGCTAATTTAGATTTCGAATTTTGGGTCCAAAAATCTTTTATTCGTTTATGCTTCGTTAGTCCTTCAGTGTTTTATTCATCCGGTCGTTAGTGCTCTACTCCTTCAAAAGTTATTGGCATTTCGTACGTGGGGGGGGGGGTACTAGTGACGTACTAATTCGAGTCCAGTCCCCAAAGTTTTGTCTGAAACTCTTCAAAACATTGAGGTTAAAATGATCCTTTGATGCATTGCAGTTAAATATCGTAGTTTTGGGATTAAATTACTTAAATCTGGGTTTTATATATTATGTAAAAAAAAAATTTTATTAAAATTTCATATTTATGCTAATTTCTGCCAAAAGCTTTAATAGATATAACTAAATAACTAATAAGTATATAACTTTAATTTGTCCATGCGTATATGATTTAACGATATTTAAAAATATCGTAGACAGCTGATCGATAAAACTGAGTATCTAATTTTAAAAATTCTCAAAAAACTACGTAAGTACCGGTACCTATCTATATGTACCTATAATATACCTATACCCCTTACCAAAACACTACCTCCTACGAATTTTATAATTCTTTTGTTGCAATTATTTAATAACTATAGGTATAATGTGTATGATTTATGTATGATAGGTGTTGATGTATGTTTGTTTGAAAAAAATATGGTTTTAAAATAAAATCGTTCGCGTTATTTGTGAATATTTAAAAGTTATTTGTTAGGTATTTAACCAATAATCAATATAGATTTACGATTCTACGACCTAATACTATAAATGTTATTGCGATACAGAACCAAGATAGGTAACTTTTATCCATTCTATGAGTTCTAGAACGCCAACCCCTGGATTATTCTAACATTAGGTGAAATAATATCAATGATACCATTGAGTATAATATATATTGTTGTACAATATAGGTACGTATACTCAATGATGATAGGTATAATGGTATAAATATTTTTTTTTAAGTCCGGGAACAAATTTAATATTTTTTACGTAACTACCTATTTAGTGTATGATAATATATTATATATCTACCCAAAATATTTATGTTTGCCTATAACAACTATCTATACCTACATCATTGCAGTTAATGATTATAAAGAAGATAGGAAGGTATAGATATATAAAGTATAAAACCTGTATAAAAATCGATTTAAGAAATAATAATCGTGATTTAAAATAGCTAAAAAAACATTTGTATGTTCATAGTCTATTTTTTTTCACCACGGTAATTTCACAACGTTCAAGGCAGGATGTCCCGCTTGAACACAATTATATTACCGCGGTGAAAATCACGGGGAGATTTCACACTCGTTGTCCACCTATTCGCCCCTCACACAAAAATATTTACCGTATAGCATTTTACAGGGAGATTTCACAAATTTTGAATAATTTAAGTAAAAAAACTTGTGTAAATATATTTAAGAATTCGTTTATATCAATAAAAAAATCTATTATTACATAATTTGTGTTGTGTACTTTAAATAATTATTTCATTTTAATAATAAGGTTTGTTTGGGAAAAAACCATTTAGTGTGTACATGGTAAATATTTTTGAGTAAGCGGCAAAACCGATTTTGAGTGTGCAAACTCCCTGTAACTTTAAAATACGGTAAATATTTTTCTGAAACGAAGAATTCGTGGACAAAAATTGTGAAATCTCAATGTAAAATGCTATACAGTAAATATTTTTATGTGAGGCGCGAATAGGTGGACAACGAGTGTGAAATCTCCCCTTGATTTTCGCCGCGGTAAAATAATTGTGTTCAACCGGGACATCCTGCATTGAACGTTGTGAAATTACCGTGGTGAAAAAAAATAGACTGTGAACATACAAATGTTTTTTTTAGCTATTTTAAATCACGATTATTATTTCTTAAATCGATTTTTATACAGGTTTTATACTTTATACATCTATACCTTCCTATCTAATTTATAATCATTAACTGCAATGATGTAGGTATAGGTAGTTGTTATAGGCAAACATAAATATTTTGGGTAGATATATATATTGTCGTATACGCCACGCAAAGGCTTGACGTATATAACAGATATGTTTCGGTTTCCGATTCTCTAACCGTCGAACGAGTAAATTATCGACACCTGCTGTATGAGTTTAATTTAGTTTCTCCTTTTGGTGACCACGATAACGAGTACTGCGCAAAAGGATAATTAAATAAAAGTCCAGCAGGATTTACACTATACAATTCTAAGGTTATTTTACTCCCGAACAACTGACCACGATAACGAGTACTGGATGTTCCAGGGTGAGGTATCTTTTACCTAGACAAAGTCTTACTCTTTCTCGACTGACACGATAACGAGTACTGGACGAGAAAGTAAGTACCACAGTGTCTTACTACCTGTTTTTAAAAGTGTTATTCACCACAACGTCTCTGTATCAACTCGTAAGATAAAATATTCTAAAAAAAGGCGTAAAGAAAAAAAATTAACACTTGGTTTTTAAAAAAAAGAATTAAATATAATAAAATATATCAAAAACAAATAATAAAAAGAAACGTAAAAATACTGCAGCTCGTTGGCTACTACAATAATCGAAACAAACAAAACAACAGCCCCGCTCCCGTCACAGACGTCGCCTAAGTAGTCGTGGCAATTTTGCTGACTCGGTTTGATTGACTTTCTGCTTCGTATGTTATTTTAATATTTTATAATTTCGTTGTATATACAACAATATTATCATACACTAAATAGGTAGGTAGGTACGTAAAAAATATTAAATTTTCTCCCGGACTTAAAAAAAAATATATTTATACCATTATACCTATCATCATTGTCAGTGCCGGCGCTGGGTATTGCAGGGCCCTGGACATAGGTAATAGAGGGCAAAATTCTAGCTTTTTTTAAATTAATGCTATTTTTATTTGAATTTTAAACATTAAAAATAACAATGTTATATAAAATGTTATCATTAATATTATTTTTCAAGACAAAACTTTTGGGACTGGACTCGAATTAGTACGTCACTAGTACCCCCCCCCTCCCCGTATGAAATGCCAATTACTTTTGAAGGAGTAGAGTACTAACGACCGGATGAATAACACACTGAAGGACTAACGAAGCATAAACGAATAAAAGATTTTTGGACCCAAAATTCGAAATCTAAATTAGCATGTCCTTAGAACCCCCTGTAGGAAATTCAAATAGAATTTAAGGGATGGAGCACTAACGACGGGATAAGAAGCACTAACGTGCACTAACGAAGCACAAACGAATGAAATTTGTTTGGGCCCGAAATTCGAAATGGGGGGTGCAGGCATGTCCCCAGCACCCCCCTGTACGAAATGCGAATAACTTTGGAACGGATAAAGCACTAACGACGGGATGAGAAGCACTAACGTGCACTAACGAAGCACAAACGAATGAAATTTGTTTGGGCCCGAAATTCGAAATGGGGGGTGCAGGCATGTCTCCAGCACCCCCCTGTACGAAATGCGAATAACTTTGGATCGGATAAAGCACTAACGACGG